CGCTTCTTACGAAAGTCTATGATAAATTAAAATACGCTAACCTAACAATTAATTTAGAGAAGTCAATTTTTTTTCGTAACGAACTTAAATATTTGGGCTATGTTGTTAACTCTAAAGGCTTACACGTGGATCCCGGCAAGGTTGAGGCAATATTGAACTTTCCTACCCCTACTAATAAAAGGGAAGTCAAAAGATTTCTTGGAACTTCTTCATGGTACCGAAGATTTATTCCCAATTTTAGCTCAATCGCTGGTCCACTTAACAAATTAACTTCTACTGGAAAAAAAGCTGCCCCATTTTCTTGGTCTAAAGAGGCTGATGATTCCTTCAAAAAATTAAAGGAATGCCTAATATCCGCCCCAATCTTATCCTGTCTGAATTACGACAAGCCCTTTGAAGTTCACACAGATGCGAGTGATTATGGTATAGGAGCCCTGCTCACTCAAACAATTGATGGTGTGGAACTTCCTATAGCCTATATGAGCAAATCGCTATCAGCACAGGAGCGTAATTATAGTATTACTGAGCGAGAAGCTTTGGCTGTTCTAGTGGCAGTAGAGCACTGGCGTTGCTATTTAGACAATGGCCTTAAATTTACAGTATACACTGACCATTCCGCCTTAAAATGGTTTCTTAATTTAAGCAATCCTACCGGCCGTCTAGCCCGATGGGGAGTACGATTATCAGCATTTAATTTTGACATAAAACATCGTCGCGGTGCTGACAATGTTATTTCTGACGCTCTTTCACGCTCATGTCCAGTATCTGCCATGGATTATGATCCTAATGCTACACAAACTACGGATCAGTGGTATCAAAAAATCTACACAGGTTGCCAGACTTCCCCTTCATCCTTCCCTAATTATTTTATTAAAAATGATAAACTGTATAGGCTTATGAAGAGTAAGTGTCTCTTACAAAAAGAGTTTGAATGGAAAGAAGTATTACCTGCTGAACAACGTAATTCAACCATTAAAGAAAACCATTCAGAACCTACTTCTGGACACTTAGGAGTCTTCAAGACCTACAAACGCCTGTCTCTCCGATATTACTGGCCGGGTATGCACGCCGATGTCGTGAAGTTTGTTTCAGCATGTGATACTTGCATAGCACATAAGCATCAAAATCACGTTCCGTTAGGTATTATGGGACACCCTAAGGTATGTTCTAGACCCTTTCAAACAATTAGCGTGGACCTTGTAGGACCTCTTCCACCGACGAGAAAGCAAAATTGCTACATATTCGTGGTTACATGTTGCTTTAGCAAATATTGCCTCTTATTTCCCATAAAACGAGCCACAGCTGAAGTAGTAAGTAGGATTCTGGAAGAAAGTGTATTTTTAGTACATGGAATTCCCTCCACCGTAATACTAGACAACGGTAAACAATTCGTTAGCGCTACTCTAAAGAACACCCTTTCTAAATATAAAGTACCTAACCTACATTATACGCCCAAATACTCACCACACGTAAACACAGTAGAACGTTATAATAAAACAATAATTACTGCGATATCCACATATATTGAAAATGATCACAGAGTGTGGGATAAACTAATTCCTCAAATTCAGTTCGCAATAAATAGTGCAGTTAATGAAGTAACTGGCTACACTCCCTCTTTTCTCGTATATGGCAGAGAATTAGTTTCTTGTGGTTCTCACTACGCCGATGCTGAGTGCGATGACATTATTTATCACCCTCGAGACTCTTATGCTGAGAATTTAGGTTGCCTGTCTAGTATCTTCGACAAAGTGCAAGCCCTTCTACTACAAGCACATTCCAAAAATTGTCATACTTATAGTTTACGTCGTCGGCCTGCTGAATATAATGTAGGGGACATAGTATGGAAAAGGACTTTTTATCAAAGTGATAAAGAAAAATACTTTAATAAAAAATTAGCTCCAAAATTCACTAAATGCAAAATTATTACTAAGAAATCGCCACTTGTGTACGAATTATCTGATATGACCGGTAAATCTATAGGATATTGGCACATAAAAGACCTAAAACTCGTAAATTATACCAAGTAAATATTTTCCTCAGTACCTAGTAGACTAGAAACAGATAGACGGATTTTACTATTAAAGACGCAAAATCCTTCTTCAGTTGGCGGGGTACTGTAACGTTGCTTCTGAATGCACCCTTACACTTATAATTGATTAATCTTAAATCTTAAATAAATAATAGTAATATAATATTCTAATCTAAAAATAAAAAGTAACGAATTATTACATATTGTTAATTTAAAATAGTTATTCTACGGAACCATAGACTAGTTAATTTAATCCGCGCAGCGTGAACCATTTTGCTCAACGATCTCTAAACAAAAGACTCGGTAGGTTTCGGACACGACGGCGAGTCCCCGTTCGGGCCATTCCTCTTGCATTTTTACCTGAGACCGCTTCAAGTTCGCAACGCGCGTGACCCTTCTACTAACGACTTTTGAACCTGCTTACCTACAATTTAAATTATTCGAGGTGCAGTTGATCCCGCTGGGGTGAGTTCTTATTTATTGAAACATTGTAACTGTCCTGCTTAATTAATACCTCTTTTGCTGAGGCTGCTTAGTGCTTAGCTTTAAGAATTTTAACTTCCTACAAGGGGTGCTGGAATTGACTAGGGCGCATATAGTGCAATAGGAAGTTTCCCTAATGCTGGCCTCCGTCTGGAATTCCAGGATCTACTACCACCTAGCATCTACCTACTACCTAAGCATCTACCTGCTACCTAAGGGCTACTGTTGCCGAGCCGCGAGCTAACGGAGTGTTGGGCTACCCGCCTACCAACGGCCATCATCACTATCGGCTTGGGCTTCACCGGCCCTTCTGCTAACTGGCTGTCTACGGCCTTGGGGGAACAGCGCTTGGACTTCGCCCCTACGTCAGGCCAGTGATCCCCTTAATAGAACTTGTACGTGTGCGGAAGTAAGATAAATAAATAATTACAATACCGTAAATCTTGGTTTTTTAAGAACCCACCTATTCTGTAACCCTAACGGTACATGTGTTCACTGGAAGAGACCCGTGTAAATCCTGTGCGTATGGTATTGTGTTGACCCTGACACTGGTGGTTTCTGGGATGAGTCGGTGGCACAGCCGATAATAGACCTGTGTAAATCCAGCCATTATTAGGTATCTGGGGTGACCTGCTAGAGACTGATGTAAATCCTGTTTGCACACGCGTATGTGCGGGGTATTCGGTTCGTGGGAACAGACCTGTGTAAAGCCTATGTGACTTGAAACGCTTTTGTGTAACGTTGATAACTATTCGTGATGACTGTTTTGACTGACTGACTTGTTTGGCTAATTGGTACATAATCTGACGCTTTTATGAACTATATGAATTTTGATCAACTGTTCATACGCGATATAAATAAATGTCTCTTAGATTGTGTGTATCTTATCGGAGATCGACGATGGTGACGTCGAACAGCCGTTGGACGCGGTGAGTGTTGCTGACCCATCCACGAGTTCCTGCTGAGGGCTTCGAGCATGGAGCCCCGTCAGGAGAGGCCGTGTTAGAAGAGGGTCTGAATCAAGAGTGGCGACGCTGCGGCGGGCTATATAGGAGGGTGGCTATCGACGCTCGCCCATTTTTGGCATCGGTCAGCACGGATTGCAGAAGCCCTGCTCGAATACCTAGCGTCATTATTTTAAATCGTTAATTTTGTTATCTTGTTTTAAACTTTTACGTTAGTTAATTTGTTTGACCGAAGCCCATTAAAATCTTGTTAAAAAGTCAATCTGCGTTTCTAATTGTAACAATAACTTCTTCGTGCGGCTTCCAAGTGAGTTTATTGTCTATAATTATATCTAGAAATTTATTACAGGCAACCTCTTCTATCAAAGAGTTATTGTATGTGACAGAAATAGTTGGATCCGCTGAAATGCATTAAATTAGTTTTGTTTAAATTTATTATCAAATTGTTATTGTCAAGCCATTTTATGATTTCACATATACACCCAGTCCCCCGTGACCATGGGTGCTGGAAAGCACCCGAAACGTCGGGAATTAAAAATAAAAATAATTAAAAGTAAATTAAACGCGATAAAATCCGTAAAAGTAGTTTTAATCAATGTGTAGTGTTCGCGTAAATATAAGAAATCATTATTCACATATACAGTTATTAATTTCATTTTGGTAATTGTTGGGATTAGTGCACTCAATAATTGCAGTGCTATCATCAGCAAAGAGAACCATGTTGTGTTTTATTGCTCTCGGGGTATCTTAATGTATATTAAAAATAATAACGGTCCCAAAACATTGTCCTGAGGCACGCCATATTTTATGTTTCTAGATACATATGTATATACATATTCCGACTTAGTGATTGGGCATATTCTAGAAATTTCCATACACCGTAATAGGACAATTTATCTATCCCATTTCTAGAACATGCAATTCAACAATTAATTGAGAGCACTTAATCTTAACACCGTAAAGTAGTATCGGCACAATCTGGTCTGTTACCTTCAAATTTTGTGGCCAGTTCTAAATTTGAAGGGGCAATTTGTATGTATTCAGCAATGCTGCCTGAAAGAAATACCTACATCTGTCGTCAAAGCAGAGCTAGAAGTGTGGAAAGCAACTATGTGTCTATTACCTCCCCTACTCCAAAATCTACTTTGGAATGCTTAGATAGGTGCAATCAAAAACTATATCCAAATATTTACACATTGTTACAAATATTGGCTACCATACATGTTTCCACAGTAGGGGAAACAGGTATGGCAGCCAATATTTGTTCTTAGGTTTGAAAACTACTTGCGTAACACAACGAGTGAAAGCAGGATGAACGGCTTGGCTCTCATGAATATTAACAATGGGATAGACTAGAAAAACAGAAGATTAATTCTGTAATACGCCTGTGTTCCAATTAACCTTCTGTTTGTTTAACCTTTAGTTTTTTCATATGAATATTAAGATTATTTCATGCACTTTTAGTCGTTGAATTTTCTTGAACGAAAAACTAAAAACTAATTGAATTCCAGATAAATAAAATGAACTCGATTGACGGTTTAAAAACCTCAGGCGATGATATGGTAACTATCAATATGTTAAACATTGTCAGTGACTTAATACAGATGCAAGAACATAAACTTATGACCATGACGAACGAATTTCGAGACTGTTTTGCATTAAACTTACATGAACTAGAAATGACGGGTATAACTGAAATGCACATACAATTACATTACGACACACCAGTATCATACAAGCCGTACACATTACCTTACAGTGAAAGATTAGTTGTACGCGATATAGTAAAAGAATATATGAACGCCAAAATAATCTGTGAATCCAACTCATCCTATGCAAGCCCGATAGTACTTGTAAAGAGAAAAAAATGGAGAACACGATACAGAAAATTATTTTAATGACCAAATAACGCAATCCATATTAAATTTTCAGTTAAATATTGCAGGTGATGGGGATAACATTATCATTACAGTAGTCAGATGCGATGCACATACCCTATATGCACATAACTCGAAATGCTAGATGCTTGCAATGATAATATCATATAAAGCGAATAACCAGTGCCCGATATATAATAATATGTGCTTGCAAATATATATATAATAAATTTTTATTATATATATATATATATATATATATATATATATATAATAAAAATATATATATATTTGCAAGCACATATTATTATTGTAATATACACATGCACATATTATTATTGTATATATTGTATATATATAATTTGTTATACTATAGATATAATAAATTTCGCTTAGAACACCAACATTCACTATAATTTTGTAAGAAAAAAGAAAGAAACCTACATTACATTGCTCCACAAGATACGATTTTTGACGCATTCTACGATACGATTTTTGACAACTATGCTTCCAGGAAAGAAGCTTAATAAAACTTTGCAATAAGAACAGCTTACCATGGTGATTTTTATATCGAATGAATAAAATGTCAATTTTAACTGACAGACAAGCTGTTTTATTTAACAATAATCACTGACCTCTATATATAGCTTGTATATATAGAGGTCAGTGACAATAATGCATTCTTAAGTGCTATTTATTTAGACCCTAGAGTAAACTCTACTCTCACAAATGAACAGCAAAGTGTTGCACAAACCAATTTATTAAATTGATATATCCATATCTAGAAAATGAACTTACTATATCAGAAGAATACACATATTTTTTCAAGCGTTGAAATGGAAAATATGCCATACAACTCAAATGACATACAAGCTGAAGGTTCACGTCATTGCTTGGAGGATTCATTAAATTCTAGTTATATTGCAAAACATGAACATAACATTTCAACTTTAGTAAGAAGGAGCGATCCAACTGATGAAATAGACAATACTCTCAAAGCATCATTTAAAATATTTTTGGAAGAACCGCTTCTAAAGTCGTAGGAAAGTGTTTTGAATTTCTGGGAGGAAAAACAGCTCAGATATACACAACTTTATCAATTGGCGCATGTTGCATTAAGTGTACCAGCAACGCAAGTTAGTGTGAAACGACTTTTTTCGGCGTTAAAGTTCATAGTTTCCAATTTCAGTATGAATTTAAACGACGATATCATAGAAAATATTTTATTTATGCCTTGTTACAAGATATATCGTTTATTGGACAAAGTACATTACAGTAAATAGAAAAAACTAGAGCTAAGCTAATACGGATCAAGAACAGAAAGTTTATTATTGAAGGTAGTTACAATACAAAAATATTATGTATCTCATCGGATAATCAATTGTGAAAACCGTTACTTAACATTTAAAAAACTAGCAAGATTGTAAATTATGATTGTAAAAGAAACAATAAGATTTATAATTTAACATTTACATCTTTATTAGATTCGCCCCATTGATATTTGCCCCGCCTCATTTAAAAAACGCTTATATAATTCTCCGCATCCACTATCGCATTGTTTTCTATTAATATTTATTTTGATTAAACTTCAAACGTAAGAAAAGCAGTATAACCATTAAAGTTCTGATTATTATTATTTTTATTTCTTAACTCGTTTTTGTCGGGATTTATGTGTCTCAGAAACAAAGAAAAACATTACCACGATACAGTCATACCAACATAGAAAAACAGGCAGGACACCACATATATTTCAAGTGAATTTTATTTCTTTGTTGGTCTAAGGCTTAGACTCTAGGCCTGTCGAATACTAGTGGCCCGCCGACAGCAAAAATAATACCCTCGTACATTCGAAAAATATTGAATTATATTCCAGAATAAAACCAAAAAAATATGTTCGAAAAGTAATTTGAATCTCGCGCGCGCGCTCTTAAGTGCGCTTATCGGTGCGCCGTGCATGCGTCGGTAACAGCGGTCGGTAATGTTCGTGCTGATCTCGGTTAAATTCGTTTTCTTGAGGAACCGCCGCGGCCGGCGGCGGGTCGCGGCGACGACGGCAGTGCGGTGGCGGCTTATCCACGGGTTATATTGTTAGAGCAAGCGAGATAGCAATAGTCCCGAATTCCCGGTTTCTCGCGTAGGTAGATACACGAAGCTTCCAGAGTCGGTTTCGTGATTTCTTCAGACAGTTTTCGACTCTATACGCGCGGTATAAAAGCCACACTAACCGCAGCGACCGACAGTTCGGTTTTAATTTGAGTGAAGTGTCAATAGTTCTAGTGTAGATTTTAACTCGACTAGTCGGTGTCATATATTTTGATCCACATTCAACGTAGCTTTCCCGTCGAGTGCCGTGTATAATTGTGTTGTGAAATCGTAAGTAAAACTCTGTTATTAATAAGTGTTTTCCTACCTATTTAATCAATTATTTTCGGTAATTTAAAAAAGGATGAGTAATTTAAGTAGGTACTGTAATTGTTTGTGCTGTGTTAATCCTAGCCAGGATTAGAACGCAACATGGACAAGCCAGGACCTAGTAAAAAACGTAAGGTTAAAGATGAAAATCGGCAGTTTCAAGAAATTTGGACTGAGAAATACTTTTTTGTATGGTCGCATAACAAAGTCGTTTGTTTAATTTGCAAGAATTCTGTTGCGATTGCAAATGAATATAATGTAAAAAGGCACTATGAAACGCAGCATCCTACTTTTACCAAGTTTACAGGCGAATTAAGAAAGCAAAAAATGTTGTCTTTAAAACGGGAGCTTATTGGTCAGCAAGCTATGTTTACAAAACCCATTCAAGATTTAGAAACAGCTACAAAGTTAGTTATGAAATTTCTCGAATGATAGTAAAGCGAAGTCGCCCCTTCAATGATGGGGATTTAGTAAAAGAATGCACAGAAATTGCCGCTAAGAAAGTGTGTCCATAAGCAGCAAAAAAGTTTGTGAAAATTCAACTGAATCGTATGACTATCCAAAGACGAATTATGTCTTTGTCAGGTAATATTGCGGAACAATTAAATGAAAAAGCTAAGATCATTGAATTTTTTTCGTTAGCCCTCGACGAATCCATATATAATACGAGGTGTTACTAAAGATTTTAAAGTTTTAGAAGAGTTATTAGGAATGTGTTCATTGAAAGGTCAAACCAGAGGAGTTGATACTTTGCTGAAAAAGCATCTGCAAGAAAAAAACATAAAAGCTGAAGATCTCATGTAGCTTTACTGCATTATACACTAAGAAGCCCCCTGTTCTAAAAAAAATTGAATCTCAAAATGTCATGAAAGTGGTAGTTTCGACTGCAAATTTCATAAAATTATGAGGAATCACAGGCAATTTAAACAATTCCTTGATGACATCGAAAGCGAATATGGAGATTTACTGTTTTATACAGAAGTAAGGTGGCTAAGTCGTGGATTGACACGGGAACGATTTCTAAATTGAATAGAAGAAATTGGAATATTTCTGGCGGAAAAGCAAAGGGATGTCCCGGAACTTAAAAATCCTGATTGGTTGTGTGATTTGGCTTTTTTAGTTGATATTACAAATCATTTGAATGTCTTGAACACACAGCCTCAAGGCAAAAATCAACTGATATGCCAGCTCTACGCTCATGTATCATCCTTTCAATGCAAGCTGACACTTTTCGGATCGCAATTCATTATCATCATCATCATCATCACAGCCCTTCACAAGTCCACTGCTGAACATAGGCCTCCCCCAAGTAATGCCACAAAGCACGGTCCTGAGCCACCTGCATCCATCGACTTCCTGCATATCTTACCAGGTCGTCACTCCATCTAGTGGGGGGTCGCCCTACACTACGCCTACCGGTACGAGGCTGCCACTCGAGAACCTTTCTTCCCCATCGGTTATCGGTTCTTCGAGCTATATGGCCGGCCCATTGTCACTTCAGCTTACTAATCCGTTGGGCTATGTCGGTCACTCTGGTTTTACTGCGGATATCCTCATTTCTGAGTCTATCACGCAGAGAAACTCCGAGCATAGCCCTCTCCATAGCTCGCTGAGCGACCTTGAGCGTCCTCATACGGCCAGCAGTGAAGGACCACGTCTCTGATCCGTAAGTCATCACTGGCAACACGCACTGGTTGTACACTTTAGTTTTCAGAGATTGAGGTATACTTGACGAGAAGATGTGTCGTAATTTACCGAACGCTGCCCAGCCGAGTTGAATCCGTCGATTGACCTCTCGGTCGAAGTTGGACTTACCTAGTCGGACTATTTGTCCCAGGTAAACGTACTCGTCAACAACTTCGAGCATAGTGCTCCCAACAACTACCGGCATAGGTGTGACATGGACATTAAACATGATCTTTGTTTTGTCCATGTTCATCTTAATACCTATCCGTTGGGAGGCACTATTGAGGTCATTGAGCATAGTGCTTAAGTCCTCCAGCGATTCTGCCATAAGGACTATATCGTCGGCAAATCGAAGGTGAGTGATGTACTCGCCATTGATGTTAATACCGTATCCTTTCCAGTCCAGTAGCTTGAAAACGTCTTCCAAAGCAGCGGTGAAGAGTTTCGGGGATATAACGTCACCCTGTCTTACACCTCTCTGCAGTTGGATAGGTTTCGAGCTCTGGTTCTGTACTCGGATAGCCATCGTAGCCCTACTGTACAAACACTTCAGCACTTCGATATACCGACAGTCAACTTGGCACCGC